ACAGCATGCGTTTATTTTGTGAATCCTGTGCAAAAAAAAATCTTGTGCGGGGTGGGGAGAGGGCGAATAGAAGGTCTAGTCACAGATACTGGAAATCCAAAATACAAACAGAAAATAATGGAATTGCACATCGGGTCAATCAGCATCGGAAAGAGAAAGGCTGAGCTCAGCGTTCTGGCTGAGACCCTCTATCACAATCCGCAGTAATTTATCAGGTTGCCATTATAAGTAGATAGTTTGTCTCCACAGAGGAGAGCTGTAAGCGTGCATTTAGCAGCTGCCGTTAGAACTGCCCTATTTTTCAGTATTGTGTTTAAACACATGCTGCGCGAAGCCTCTCGGCTGTTGGTACTGTCCCCCTCCCCCTGCCCGATATCGAAACTCGCTACCTCTGCTTGGCAGGCTCTGGCCTCCTGCACGTCCCTCGTGCCCCTGCTCCACTTTCAGCCACTATGCCCAGAAGCTTTGAAACTCACTCCCCCAATCCCTCTGTCTTGCCCCTTCCTTCCCCTCTCTTAGATCATGACTGAAGGCATTCCTCCCTCCCCCCGGCTCAGAGTCAGGCTCCGCCACTGTTAAACACTCTGAGTTGATGCCCAGTGTGAAGGGTACCATATAAATACAAGTAGTTTTTGTTTTAAACAAGGATTTTCATTTGACTTGGGATCCATTTAAATGCAGGGAAAAGCCTCAGTGACCCTATTTGTCTGATCCCGAGTGAGATTGAACATGCGACTCTGGACAATATGGGGTTGGTGCCTCTCCTTTATCCACTCGGCTGTCAGGGCCGCCACATGCATTTGTTTGAATATTTGCAGAGCTTCATCCCCTCACTGCCTTCCTCTGTCGATTGGAGTGCACCAGGAGCTTGAGCTGTGTCAGGAATTACCACTAATTAAGCACCGAGATAAGACACTGCACCATCATCAGGCAAGAAATATTGTAAAGTCACTTGCGATAGTAGGGATTGAAAGCATTTGACCCTTACCCTCCCTCCCCCCTCCCAACCATTACTGAAGTTGCTGCCTGAGCAACAAAGGAGCAAGAGAGGGAAACAAAGTGACTTGGTTTTTTTTTTTACCTGTGTACTGCTGAGAGCAGTGTGATGTTGATGGAAAGTGACAGGGCCTAAACTGAGGTGGACAAATCTCGTAAGGCCTGGAGAGCCTGTAACTTCATCCCCCAGCGGCAGGATTGGATTTACAATGACCTCTATTGTCCTTGAGCCCAGTTTGCAGCCAAGGTGGCAGGCAATTAGCCTAAGCTTTGGGAGTGGCCTACGAGTTTAGTGTCTGGAGCTGATAAAAGCCCTTGTGTCTTTTATGGTGGGTCCTTTGATGGTGGTTTAATTTCATTTGGTTCTGAGTATTCAGGTTGCGCCTGTGTCAACAGGTGTTAGATGCTGAAAGCAGCAGTATTTTTTAAAAAAAGCAGCTCCTGCGTTGGGTGTTACATGGAAGTCCGTCCCCCTGTAGCTCTGTGACTGATACGTCTGACTTTATTCGAATGCTGGAAATCCATGTGGCATGCAAACAGCCTGCCTTAACATGCAGCAGTCACTGCCTCAGTCTGTCACAAGCTTTAAACGCATCCACATCCTACTCCTTCTTTCTCAGGACGGGGCGAGGGGTGGGTGGAGGGCTGACAATTCAGATATTTTGTAAAACTTAATATGGGGGGGAAAAAAACAATAAAAATATCTGTTTTTAAACTTCCTTTGAGTGAGGGAGTCCTGGCAAGGAAAGTCTAGAAATGTTGGAGGTTCCTCGGGGGGGCAGTGGAGCGAGTCTACTGAGCCAGTCGTTGCGACACGGAGAGTGATCAGTACAGCCTCACTCTCCACGTCTCAGTGTGTTTGCTACAGGGAATGGCTTTCTCATCACGATGACTTGTGAAACCTTGGCTCCGACACAACACATGTCTTGAGCATTTTTCAGTGGCAATGTGCCACTGACTCTACCTGCTTCACTGCACTGGGAGTAAGGAGAGTTTCCCCTTGTGTGCATGTCAGATGGGTATTTTTAGCAAAAACATGGTAAAGGACGACATAGGAGTTTGTTATGCAGTTTTAACTTGGCGACATTAGGGTGACAGTATTATCCTGGTAAATTGGGGGACTGTGGGGAGACAAGGTCTGTGAATTCGCTGGCACCTCCTGGTGGCCAGCTACAGGAGGTACTGATGGTAGCTTGTGGAGTCCTGTAGCTCAGTGGTTAGAGCACTCGCTTTGCAAGTGAGAGACCTGAGTTCAATTCCAGGCAGGGCGAAACCTTGGGCAAGTTTCCTTACTCCACACGCCTAATAATAATCCCTCCAAAAAACCCAAAACAATAATTAAATTGGTAATTTTCAATCTACGACTGTTTGTGGGACATTGCTGTGCGCAATTGGCTGCCGCGTTCGCCCACAAATATACAGTCAATTCACTTTACAGTGTGTTCTGTGAAGCGCTTTGGGACGTCCTCCTGACGTGAAAAGCGCTATATCAAATGCAAGGATTATTATTATTATTATTATTATTATAGCTGGCGAAATAAAGAGCAGTAAGGTTGGGTATCCTGGATTCCTCAGAGGAGAATAATAATAAATAATAATCCTTACATTTGTTATAGCGCCTTATCATGTCAAGATGTCTGACAGCACTTCACAGGATATACTGTAAAGTGGTATCACTGTGTAAACACGGCAGCCATTTGTGCACAGCATTGTATCACAAACAGCCATGAAGTGAATGAACAATTTTATCTGGGTGATTGTTGGCCAGGACACCGGGCGAAACTCCCTTATCCTTTTGAATTCTGCCATGGGATGTTTAAAGTCCACCTGGGCAGGCAGATGGGACCTCGGTTTAATGTCTCATCGGATAATACTTATCTAAAGGATGGGGCCTCCAACAAATGCAGGGCTTCTGCAGCACTGCATTGTAGTAGCAGCGTTGACGGTGAGTTCAGAGCCCTGACCTGGAGCTTGAAAACCGCAATCTTCTGACTTAAGAGTTTGAGTGCTACCAACCGAGCCAGAACTGACCGAGCCAGTACGTCGGCTGCATATATCTTCCAGCAGACTGAATCCTGATCCTAGTGTGAAGCTTGAGGTAGAATTCTGATTTTTAGAATCGATATGAACTGTTAAAGACACGTCCAACGTATCTGAGTCACACGTGTTCTCTGAAGGGAGAAAGGAGGGGGAGCTATCCTGCACTGTTACTGGTAACACATGATGAGGAGATGAGAAGGATTCTCAGCATTCCTTCCCCTCCCTGTTGCCATTTTCCAGTCCAGGATACTGATCTCCTTTGATGCTTTTGATTTCTTCCTCCTCATTCCATCTCTTCTACTTCAGAAACAATTTGATGTCTCTGTTCTCCTAATGGAAATACGTTGCACTCTCACTCTCTGGTCTTTCTTCACGGGTAAGCCTTGACAGAGAATCTACCCTGAGTGGGGGTGGGGTGGGGGGTGGGGAGAGGAAGAAAACACAGCAGCCGAGCCAGAATCCTGGCACTCACGTGCACCTCCAACTGGGATCGCTTGATGGTGATCAAAAACAGGAACCTCGTATTGTATTATTATTATTATATTTCCGTGTTACCCCGGCTGAGATGAGCTAACTCAAAGCAGGCCACCAATTGACCCTGTGCTGGTTGACATAGTATCCCTCTACTCACTGGATAAACTCTCTGTTTGGTTCTACAACATAAAGTGCACAAGTGGTACAGCGGAAGGTCTGCAAAGAGCAGTTAATACAAATGCTGAATTGTGCAGAAGTTGAATGGAAATGCACTGGGCTTATGATATGAAGGGGGAAATACAAGGTTCCTGTTTTTGATCACCAGCAAGTGATCCCAGTTGGAGGTGCACGTGAGTGGACAGGATCTGGCTCGGCTGCTGTGTTTTCTTCCCCCCCCCCACCACTCAGGGTAGATTTGCTGTCAAGGCTCATTCATGCTGAAGACGTTTCTGTTCACAATATAAACACAAAAGGCAGCAGATAACCTGAGGTTATGTGGAAACAAAACAATAATTTTATATACAGTGAATACCAACACCTATATTTGCTCGAGTCCTGTTATAAAACATAGTTTTTTGGGGGTCCATAAAACCCCCAACCAGAGTTATAATGGGATGCGATCGCGAGCCAGCTCACAGAAAGCTGCCCGACTCCCATCACATTTCATATGTTATGTTTTGAAGCATGATGTTATGATTGAAAGTGTGATGCACACCAGTGGGCCGTCCAGCTTTCTGCATGTATTTGGGATTCTTTGGTAAGGAAATATCCTATAACTGAACCTGTGTTATACCAGAGAGTGTTATAACGGAGTTCTATTGTACTTATAGATCTGTTATAATGTTAATAATGCCTGTTTCTCTCTCTCTATTTTTGTGATTAAAAAAAACTGATAAATTAGTCACTTCAATCCACGGCCGTTTGTGGGACACTGCTTTGCGCAATTGGCTGCTATGTTTCGCCCCCAAAATATACGGCCAATCAACTTCACAGTATATTCTTTGAGATGTCTCAACTAGGTGATAAGGTGCTATATAAATGCAACGATTGTTATTATTATTACCTCAGCTGTGAGGTATTTACTTTATATCCTCGTTCTGTGTCATGGTTGAGAAGTTGGGATCTAAAAATTGAGATTTGCGATAAGTGAAACCTCCAGGATCCTGGATGTGTCTCAGGCTTTCCCTCTGGAACTCCGCTTGAACGATAATCATGGATTCAAGTTTGTGAACCTGGATTGTAGCCAAGGGCGGCTCCTGGTGGCGGGGGCGAGATTGGATTCCAAATGAAGCTCCAGAAGGTTCAACCTGAGGCACATCGGGTACCTACAGATATCAGCCTGTGAATGTGGTATGTGACCCCCATGAAATAGAGGCACCTTTATTTGTAACACACCAAGGTGTGCCTCTAGTGGCGTGTTAGAATGACGGTGAAACCTCTTCCTGCGTGTCCATGCACTGACAGCATATCCAATTGGTCTTTTTGTTCAGGTGTAACCTGTGCTGCATTTCCTTTAAGACACACCGTGGTTTGCTGCGTCACAATGCCATAATCCACAAGCAGCTTCCCACGGACGCTTTGGGAAAACCTTACATCCAGAATAATCCCACCATTCCTGTGGGCTTCCACGATCTTGGATTCATCGATTTCTCCTGCAGGAAGTTCCCCCTCATCTCTCAGGTGATCTTAGTGAATCATTTCTGATTGCTGACTGTGTCCAGGCTTGTTTTTCTCTCCTTATTGTCTTTCCTTCCCTTGAAGTTGAGTCCTGCTGGGATAGACTTATATGGCTAGCAGCCCTTCAATAACCCACTACGTTGGGCCTGAGCAGTGAGTATCCTCGGTGTTTGCAATGCGGTATACCAGGCTGATTGAGTCCTACCCTCAACTGGCAATCAAACACGAGCACTATCCAGAGGAGTCACTGGATAGCAATGAGGATAAGAAACTTGGGACGGATATCAGTTTTCCTTTGGGTCTATGACCCAGCACACCCAGATTGCGATCTGCAAATTCATTACAGTCTGGGAATCGAAAGCAGCATTACAGACTAGGGATGAAGCCTGGGATTTTCCTGATTTTTATTTGGCTCATTACCACACCACAATGTACAACAAGTGGAGCTTTCTGAAGTATATTTTGGCATGATGAATGCACATCAAAAAACACAGATTAAAACATTTTATAGGTAGCAGTAAAGCAGCAAGAAAAATTAAGGATTGTCTGATACAAGAGCCTTCTTACTTTCTTAAAGGGTGAATCCATCTTAGAAATCTTTTGAAGTAAGTGGCTGAAAATTTGGGTTTACAGTCATCCAGATTATTCCTAACAAATGTAGGACATCACATTTCAGTAGTTAGTTGAAATTCTGAGGGAGCAAACACCGCTCACAGTGAGAGAGGTGGGTGTACACAGTGAGAGGGGATGGTGTACGCAGTGAGAGGGGATGGTGTTCAAAGTGAGAGGGGAGGATGTACACAGTGAGAGAGGATGGTGTTCACAGTGAGGAGAGGGGATGGTGTACACAGTGAGGAGAGGGGATGGGGTACACAGTGAGGAGAGGGGATGGTGTACACAATGAGGAGAGGGGATGGTATACACAGTGAGGAGAGGTGGTAGTGTTCACAGTGAGGAGAGGGGATGGTGTTCATAGTGAGGGGATGGTGTTCACAGTGAGGGGATGGTGTTCACAGTGAGGAGAGGGGATGGTGTACACAGTGAGTTGAGGGGATGGCGTTTACAGTGTGGAGAGGGGATGGTGTTCGCAGTGAGGAGAGGGGATGGTGTACACAGTGAGGAGAGGGGATGGTGTACACAGTGAGGAGAGGGGATGGTGTTCACAGTGAGAGGGGATGGTGTTCACAGTGAGAGGTGTTCATAGTGAGAGGAGAGTGTGTTCACAGTGAGGAGAGGGGATGGTGTTCATAGTGAGGAGAGGGGATGGTGTACACAGTGAGGAGAGGGGATGGTGTTCACAGTGAGGAGAGGGGATGGTGTTCACAGTGAGAGCTGTTCATAGTGAGAGGGGAGTGTGTTCACAGTGAGGAGAGGGGATGGTGTACACAGTGAGTTGAGGGGATGGCGTTCACAGTGAGGAGAGGGGATGGTGTTCGCAGTGAGGAGAGGGGATGGTGTACACAGTGAGGAGAGGGGATGGTGTACACAGTGAGGAGAGGGGATGATGTTCACAGTGAGGAGAGGGGATGGTGTACACCGTGAGAGGGGATGGTGTTCACAGTGAGAGGGGTGATGTTCACAGTGAGCAGTGAGGAGACAAGGGACATGCAGGAGACTGGAGCCAGCCAAGCGGAGGAGTAAGGAATAAGCAGGTTGGAGAAGTAGGGAGATGCCGGGATGTGAAGGAATTCATAGACAAAAACAATGTTTTTTATTGCTTTGTTACTGCCTTTTGTAGGTCTGGTCAGAAGTGAATCTGAGGAGATGCACGAGCAAGTTTCACCGGTTTGTTTGCGAGATGTGCAACAAAGCCTTTCCCATGTTTGCGGCGCTCAGCCTGCACATGGAAACTCACAAAGGGCAAGTGGACGGGGCCCAACCCAGGCCGGAGCCTCAGCAACCAGCCCAGGGTGACGTGAAGCAGAAATCCTTCATGGCCTCCCTGGGCATGCAGCACGCCAAAGAGGTGAAGATGGTGAAATGGGAGGAAATCCATGGCGAGTTTTATATGCACGGATACTGGCCGGAAATTCCTCAGTGCAACCTACCTCAAGAGGTCAACCGTGTTACTGTGAACAATCAGACCGCATTAGACTTGGCTTCCTTTGGAGCCACACGGTCTTCTCTTCAGACCAGCCACCAGGACAAAGTAAAGATATTGGCCCTGCAGCCTTTCCAGAAAGGCTTCATCATCCAGCCCGACAGCAGTATCGTGGTCAAACCAATCTCCAGTGAGTCTGCCATTGAACTTGCTGACATTCAGCAGATCCTCAAAATGGCCTCCTCTGCTCCCCCACAGATCAGTCTTCCGCCCCTGTCAAAAGCACCTTCCGCCCCAACTCAGTCCATATACAAGCAGATGCCTCCTCTGAAGCCAAAGCCCCTGGTCACGCCTCGCACCGTTGTTGTAACCTCTACCCCACCCCCACTCATGAGTATGCAGCAGGCTTCCTCTGGGTGTATCAATACGAACCTCCCTCCTCCTCCATTGAAGCTCATAAAAACTAGAACCGAATTGGCTTCCAGTCCTCTCGAACTGAAGTCCAGATCCATGAATGGCTCTCAGCCATTGCTGCAGCCTAAGACAGAACCTTTGAGCCCGAATGAAATGAAAACTCAGCTGGAGCAAGATAGTATTATTGAAGCTTTGATGCCTTTAGAAATTGAGGGAACTATTAAGCAGGAAGTCACAGAGGGAGACCTCAAGGACATGATAATCGGGAGTCCGAACAAGAAAGTGCCACCATTGAAGAAAGTCCTGTATCCCTGCCGTTTTTGTGAGCAAGTCTTTGCTTTCTCTGGAGTCCTGAAAGCTCACATACGCTCGCACTTGGGGATATCTCCATACCAGTGCAACATTTGCACTTACATTGCAGCAGACAAAGCGGCGCTAATCCGTCACCTGAGGACCCACAGCGGTGAGAGGCCTTTCATTTGCAAAATCTGCCACTACCCGTTCACAGTGAAGGCAAACTGCGAAAGGCACTTGCGCAAGAAGCACCTCAAGATGACCAGGAAGGACATTGAGAAGAACATTGAGTATGTGGAGAGCCACACGGCGGAGCTGGTGGATTCCTTCTGCTCTCCAGACACCGTCTGCAAGTATTGCGGCGAAGACCTGAAGTACTACAGGGCTCTCCGGCTCCACCTGAGGACACACAGCAGCTGCCAGAAGAAGCCCTTTGAGTGCAAAGAGTGCACCGTGGGCTTTTCGACCAAGAACAACTGCATCCGCCACATCCTCAAACAGCACACCCATGTGGATGAGAAGGAGATCGAGAAGCACATCTTGATTATCGACTGCATCGTGGGGGAGAACGGGGCCTTGTCACCCAGCTTGTCTGAGGAGAGCGGGGAGGGCTCCCCACTGCCGTACAGGGAGCCGCAGAACGGTTTCGCTCACGGGCCCATGCCGCAGGCTTCCTTAAAAATGGAGCCGATGAATATTTTTTCAATGGACTTGGACGAACCCTTAGACTTTTCTCAGAAGAACAGACTCGTGTGCTTGCACCCGATCAAGCAGGAAAGCCACCCGCTCAGCAGACTTACCTGTCAGGTTGCCCACTTTGACCTCACCATGGAGCCCATTGACCTGTCGGTTCCCAAAAATCCCAATAAGAACAAAGCGGACGAGGGGAAAGAAAATAAGGAAGAGCCCCAGCTCGCTGCGAACGATGGCTCTATTAACTCGCTCCTGTGCTTGTCCCCTGGTCAAGCGAAGGTTAACCTCGATAAGCTCCTAAGCACAAAACATTCTTCCCAATTACAGGGTTCGCCTCTCAGCCCGAGTCCCGCCAATTTGCCGGTTGTCGTTCCCAGCACCAGCCTACTGCGTCCCCTCAGACCCAAGCCTCCGCTACCACCACTTTTGCCGAAGCCGGCACCCGTGAAAGAGCTGCCGCCCTTGGCTTCCATTGCTCAGATCATCTCTTCCGTCTCCTCGGCTCCTGCCTTGCTGAAACGTGAGGCCACGGAGGGTGCAGAAGTGACCAAATGTACTACGCCTTCCGAGAATGCCGAGGACCCCAAGACGGTAGTAGTGCCGAAGAGGGCTACCCCAACAGAGTCTGCCACTGAGACACTGGCCGAACAGCCCAGTGCAGAAAAGGCCTCGGTTGGTTTAATGGGCCCCTCCAAGAGAAAGGGGAGGAGGAGAGGGATCAAATACAAAAAGCTTCGGCCCATTGTGAGCAACGGTTCAGATCCCGAGACCAGTGGGGAGTTTGCCAGTGTGGAGAAGATGTTGGCCACCACAGACACCAACCAGTTCAGCCCCTTCCTGCAGTCTGCTAGCGACATCAAAGGGGAGTCCAGCAAAGATGAAATGAGCGCGGAAGAGAAAGAGAAGGGAGACGCAAAGATCTTGAAGGGCAAGAAGAATTCGTATTCCAACTCCGTACAAAGAATTAATTGTCCGTACTGCCCACGCCTCTTCCCTTGGGCCAGTTCTCTGCAGCGCCACATGCTGACCCACACAGGTAAGAAACATAACACCGCCATAATGATTGAGTTGGCTGAGAAAGCTATTTAACCCTTTTTAGGATACAGCAGAATATACCTATCTCTGTTTCTGCATATCTCGTTTCCCCTCCCCCACCCCACTCCACCCCCATGTCCTTGCCCCTCACCGCCTCCATTTCTGTCCACCTGAAGTGACTCAGAATAGTTTATTGGCATATTGAGCCCCCTGGTATCTAATCCAGGCACCGTGTTCTTCACATGTCAGACTCGCATGCAGGGACTGGTAGGCTATTCAACCGTGGTAGTATCACAGTCAAGCCAGATCCTGTTTTCATCCATCCAATATCCACACACATATTTTCCAGTGGGAGTCACTTGATACTGAATGGAAGAAGGAACAATGGTTGATTTTCTCTCTCTCTCCCCCCCCATTGCCCTTACATAGGCGACATTGAGGGCAGTAGGAGATGCGGAGGGGTGTGAGGCAAGTGCATTGCAAAAGGGATCTCATAAATGTCACTTTGTGGAGTGGTTAGAGCACTCGCTTTGCAAGTGAGAGACCTGAGTTAATTCCAGGCAGAGCGAAACCTTGGGCAAGTTTCCTTACTCCACACACCTAATAATAATCCCTCCAAAACCCAAAACAATAAAAAATTGGTCATTTTCAATCTACGACTGTTTGTGGGACACTGCTGTGCGCAATTGGCTGCCGCGTTCGCCCACAAATATACAGTCAATTCACTTTACAGTGTGTTCTGTGAAGCGCTTTGGGACGTCCTCCCGACGTGAAAAGCACTATATCAAATGCAAGGATTATTATTATTATTATTATTACTTTGTTGGAGAACCACTGTTGCCTCCCTGGCTGCCATCAGCTAGCTCAGCACAGAGCAGGGATCACAACTAGTCTGTATGAATCAGTACCATACTATGCACAACAACTTCCCACCAAGGCTTTTGGTGGAGTGTGGCGGACCTGACTTTACATTTTTAAACCACTTTTGGTAATATAAGTAGTGTACAGGCTAGTTTTCTATAAGACTGCCCCGTCTGCTTGATTTATAAAAATATTAAGGAAAAAAACCTTTATCATTGGACATTTTTCTTAAAACGGTGCAGGCCATCTAAAACGGTGCAGGCCATCTGTCTTTTCACCTCTGGGCTTAACACATTTCACATTGTTAGCCTCAGCTCTGACTGGCTGATAAAGAGTGAGAGTAAAATCAGATTTAACTGTCTGAACCCAGACACATCTTGGAACGTACATTAGACTGTGAGAAATCTATTGCTTCTGCTCATCCAAATCTCTCCACATGTTTGTTTCCAGTCTATCAGCAACTACCAATAACAACAAATTGCATCTGCATTAACAGGGTCAAATTTTTGAGAGCCCACTGTTACCCTGTCACAATGCACTTGTCTCGTAGTAAGGGTGGCTTGATGTAGAAAAATAAAACTGTCATGTTGGGGCTGAGGTGAGTGGTATAGTATTCTGAGGTTAAATCAGATCTACAGAGAGGTTGCAAAGTGGAGGAAGAATCTCTCGAACTTCTAACTACAATCCTTACATAATAATAATCTCTCCAAAACAATAAGAAATTGGACATTTTCAATCCATGACTGTTTGTGGGACGCTGCTGTGCGGAATTGGCTGCCGCGTTTCGTCCAAAAATATAGGGTCGATTCACTTTACAGTATATTCTGTAAAGCGCTTTGAGACATCTAGAAGACGTGAAAAGCGCTATATCAAATGCAAGGATTATTATATTATATATTCATGCGCACTTGAGTGTCATTGCTTAGGCTCTACACAGTTGATATAGGATCTGGCTGTTGTTTTAACAGTACGGACAGTACTCTCCAACTATGCCTCACCCCCACATACCTCCTGTCCCTGACACCAGTGTTAGAAATGTTCATTGAAATGGACTCGGAAAGTCCTTCAAATGACTGCCGGCCTTATCTGGTGTGCAGTAGAATCACAGTCTTGAAAGGGTTACAAAACATTTGAGCTTTAGGACACTGAAAATCTTTTCAGCCTCAAAATATGCATATTTCCTGCAAATGTAACTGCAAACAGTACTTGTAACTTTCCAATGAAGAACATTCTAGGATTTTGAGAAACACAAAATACACGGAATGGCTGACAACTTGAGAATATTCTTGGAATGAAAGTTAACAGTTTCTTCAGGTGCTGTTGCAGACAGTTAGAAAGCAGACAAAATGTCACTTAAATCACCGATATTTGTTTCAATGCAGCCACAATGTGCTCCTTGAAGTTTGGTCTATTTAGTTGTGATGTGGTTGGACATGAGATTGAAATCTGAATGGAGNTTTTTTTTGCTGTCTGAAGCAACGCAGCAGTCTAACCTAACTGGCCTTCAGATAAGGATTGATAAATAGCATGAACCGACCTGTTTGTGACATAGCTGTGCTGTGGAAGTGGCCCAGCCACGAAGGCTTGCCTTGGATTTACTTTCTGTTGTGCCTGAGGCTGGATTGGAAGTGTTGGGCTCCGCAGCCCCTTAGTCTAATTTCGGGCACGTTCATTTACACTGTCAGAAAGAACGACGTAAAAACAAGTCATATTATTTGAGCTTTGAATAAGAGAACTGATCTGAAGATTTTTTTTGTGGGTGCCAGATAACATTTAGTGGATGCCAGATAACATTTAGTGGGATGTGAATGCTAACAAGCTGACCACAGATTTTCCAGGGTATTGACACTGATGGTTGTAAATAATTAACTTTCAGCTGCACTTTTGTAACAGATACTGTATCTGCAGCTGGTCAAAGTGCAAAGGGGTGGGGGGGGAGAAGGTGGGGAATGCTTGTGTGGACTTTGCTTACTCATGCTGCTCTACAAATGAGAGTCTTATGTAAAAGGACCGAGTGCTCTTCCTTGCAGTGTAGTACTGCAACTACGTGTTTGAAATAGGTCTGAGTTCACAGTGACAAAAGACGTCACTCCTCTGACCGTGCTTGAATGTTATCTTATGGACATCATTCTACAATTTCTCCCCCCACCCCCACATGTTCCCTTCTCAACATTACTCCCTGTCATGGAGGTGATGGGGGAGAGAAGGGTAGATGTTCTTCAGCTCGGAGCTATTCAAAGAGACAAGTAGAGGGAGAATTCCTGTGCCTTGTTTTTCTGCTCCCTTCCCCCTCTCCCACCTTAGATAATTATTTGGGGAGGACAAGTTTGCAGGGCTATGGAGAGAGAGCATGGGAGTGGGATTGAATTGGATAGCTCTTTTCAAAGAGCCGGCACAGACACAATGGGCGAATGGCCTCCTTCTGTGCTGTATAATTCTAAGATTCTATGAACTATTGTGCAGAGCTGAATTGGGCAGACTCCTTAAAGAGGAAATGATGTGAAATAACAGCAGTTTCTTAATGTTATCTCAGTAACTTAATAAATTGGCTCCATGTGTGAAGTGTGGATCTGAATCCCATGGCTGCCTGTCACTCCAGACCAGCCTGTCACTCAAGGCTGGCCAGCCTGAGGTTTATTAAATTGAATCCATCGAATGGATCAGTTCCATCTTTTGACGAGAAGGAGACGTTGTTGATCCCTGACTGATCAGGGAGTGTTTATTGATGGTTATTATAGAGAACGATGGGCCCAGCTGGAGGACTATGCAATTTCACACATTTGTCAAGGTACTGTAATTTGAAGTGGATCAAACACAACTATTAGCTATTTTAGAGGATCTCATTAAAAGTTTGTATTACAAATTGTTCAAACTCTGCAAGGGGAAAAAATCCTCCAAAATACACCAACTTTGCATTTCTAACCATGGTGGGATCACGTTAACATCCGTAAGGATAAACCTAGTTGCACTATGAATAGAGAAGGAATTTCTCTACACTCACACTTTGATGTCCAGTCCTTTTTTCTGGGTTGTCCCACTCCTTGGGTGTTCTTCCAAACATGCCAAGTGACATCTGTCAAATATCACCACTGTTATAGATGTGTACTAATAACCAGGTTCAAAAGTTTGCTTATTTTGGTTGTGCCAGGCACTGAGAACAAACCATTCTGGGGTACGAAAATGGTTTCTTCTCACCTAGAGAAAGGAGCTTCACCTTCATTTCAAACAAAAAGAGCCATTCAACAGTGATGGGTCCAATGGGCTGCTTCCTGCAGTTACACTGTTTATATTGCTTTGTGATATTACAAGAGGAGTTACCATGAGTGTTATCTCAGCACAATGCAGATGGAGTTGTTGCTTTTAATGAAGTATTATTTANTTTTTGATAACGCTGAAGAGCACGATCTGCTCTCAGACCAAGCCGGTGCTTTGACTTCCTGGAGTAAAAACCATAAGCCAGGGTGTTCCAAACCAGTGTTGGTATTTATTACAGTGAAGCAATTTCAGGCCATAGTTATCTTTACTGCACAGATACCTAAATTGCATTGCAGAGGAGTCTGGGGCTGTGCAGACTAGTTACTTATTGACAGGGCTACAAACCCCTTCAATATCAGCCTGCAAACACGCAGTGTAAATTTGTTGTTTTGGGGGAAGGGGTGTTCTTTGTCCTTTTGGTTTGTGAATAAGATGGCATGCTGACTAACTTGGCAAGATGATTGATACTGTTTTGAATAAACGCCAACTAGCCGGCGGTTAAATTAATTATAATAAGACAATGCAATTCTCAAAACAAAATGCATCAATAGCAACCTTTTTTATTTTTTTATTTTTTTTAACAAAAGGTCAGAAGCCCTATCCCTGCCCTAAATGTGACGCGTTCTTTTCTACTAAATCTAACTGTGAACGCCACCTCTTGCGCAAACATGGTGTTGCCAACCGATCGCTGCGAAGAAACGGGCTGCTTGCCAAATCCAAACCAGCTGAAGCAAAGCCCCGGGAGAGCACAGGTAACTATCAGAGAGCCCGTTCCGCTCAGTGTGCTGTTATTACAGGTTACCCGGGCGCACTCGCTCCACTTGAGGGAGGGTGGTCTGGAAGCGCTGCGGCAGCAAGATGCCAGTGTGTAGAATAAACAGTGCAATACAAACCCCAGGCTCACGTACGGTCACTTTGCGTGTCTTTGAATTGAACTAAAGGGTCTCCTCACTTTCACGCAAAAGCACGGGCCAAACTTTTTATTTCACATTTTGCCATAGGTCCATCCTTGAGTAGAGTTATCATAATGAACTCACTCACCTCCCTTCTGACTCTTCTCTGCCTCCCCAACACAAGCCATCAAACACACAAGCCAAAAGGTGTGCTAAAAGCTTTTAGTTGAAAACTCTCTTCCCCTTTAAGTAATCGGGCTACAAATTGTATTAATATCGATTGCAGAAAGCAGTATAGAAGTGTACCATTATACCACCTTGCGTCAGATCTAAATTTACCAAATTATTGGCTAAGTGTATATATACATCTCACTGAATTGAATGAATTGGAACTTTGTGGAAGTCTTGTACTGCAAATGCAAATGGCTCCTTTCTCTGAGGTACAGGGTTCAATTCACTTAAATGTAAGTAGTTTGGCTGAATGTGTAAATATGCGTACATGGTGGGATGTCTTTAACATTTATAAAGTTTGTTTTTTCTCTCTGTCTCAAAAAAAATCTGTCAAGGTCCTTTATTTTCTGAGGTAATTGGTTGGGCAGGTTTGGACTGCCTGAAAGGGAAAGGTTTAAATCCAGAGTATGTAGGTGCAGTACTCTCCAATGATTGTATTTTGGCACATGTTGTATTTGTCTAATGTATGTTAATAGTGTATGAATTCAATGTTTAAATCTTTCACTCCTGAGAAATGAAGGCATCTTTATGATTTTCAGTGAGCAAGTAGGTTTCGGCCTAATGTGTTCAATGGAGGTTAATGTTGCATGGAATAGGCTGAGTACCTACAAGGGGGGGGGTTACGGAAACTTTGAACTTCATAGTGTGGAAAAGCTATTCTCTGATTTATTTATTTGTGTGTGAGTGACATTGTTTGTGTGTGTATTGCTTTCCAGGCAATTCTTCGGAAGCAGAGAGTGATGCAGCAGGACCCTCTACAGCAGCTCCAACAGCGCCCAGCTCCTCTCCAGACTCCGCAGGGAGCCAGTACGCCGAGCTACCAGGGAGCCCCGAGCCTTCCAAAGAGGACCCCACCGCAATCTCCTCCGAGAGACAAAAGAAAAAAAATAGCATGTCGGAGGAGGAGGAGGAGGCAGAAGAAGACGCGCAGAGCAACAAAAGCCTTGATCTCAACTTTGCCAGCAAACTCATAGACTTCAAACTAGGCGGCAGCCACCCGCCCGGGGGCAACAGCTCGCAGCAGGAAGGGAGGAACGTCTGTAACGTATGTGGGAAAGTCTTCAAGTACGCAGCCACCCTGACACGCCACCGGAAAGCTCACGCTGGCGAGATAAGGAGAGAAGGCAAAGGCGGCAAGAGAGGCCCCAAAAGAATAAGCAGCGAGGCGGAGGCACCGAGTTCCAACGTAGCACGCAAGCGGGCAGCACAGAGCCCGGCAAGGTCAAAGATCAGCGACGAGACTTCAGCCGAGTTTGAGGGGAAAGCAGATCAAGAGGTAAAAGGTAGCCCGAGCAGTCCGTCCAGAGTCTCCGAGGAGGAGTGCACCAAGAGGCAGAGTGACAGCCAGGATGGTGAGCCTCACACAGCAGAGCTCTCCACAGGGCAGCAGGACGCCAAGAAGCTGGGGCCCAATAGCTCGACTAAGGCAGACAAGAGGAAGAAGATTTGCACCGTGTGCAATAAGCGCTTCTGGTCTCTGCAGGACCTGACACGTCACATGAGGTCGCACACAGGTAAGAAACAGGGGGGGCTGTAAGGTGCCACTAATGGGCTGGTCAGAGGGGAGACCGTTCGCTTATGGTCACCTCCGGGGGAGCTGGAGTGCCCCGTTGTCGGCAGACCGGTGCTATTTTTGGGTCGATATTGGCTTTTGGTGGAAGAAGTTATTCAAAGGGGAGAATTGTCAACTACTGCTGCCCTGAGATAGCACTCTCGCCTCAAAAGAGTCAGAAGTTTGTGGGTTCAAATCCCACATTGGGACTTGAACTCACACAGTCTAAGCCGACACTTCAATTCAGTGCTGGGAGCGTTGCATTGTTGGAGGTGCTGACCTTCGGATGAAACGTTAAACCGAGTTTTTGCCTGCCTGTTCGGTTGGATGTTAAAGATCCCATGGCACTTTTAGAAAAGAGAAATTTGCTAAGTAAAATTGGTCACCAAGACTGTTTGTGGGACATTGCTGTGCACAACTGATTGCCATGTTCTCCCACAAAATACATTCAATTTACAGTATGTCCAATGAAGTGTTTTACCACATCTTGACGACGTGATAAAGCTCTAGATCAAATGCAAAGATTATAATGTACACAAAGCAACCTCAGTGATGGGGTTTAGAACAAGAGTGTTTCTTCCCAAAGCACTATTTCCACAAGGCCTGCAGTGGTTTAAAGAAAAGGCCCGTCACCATTTTCTCAGGGCAGCAAGGGATGGGCAGTAAGTTCTGGAGTAGGATCCTGAGGATCAGTGACAACAAGAGCAGTAGCAGTTGAAAGACTTGACTGGTTTCAGTAGATACAGGGGGACTGCAGATAATGGGTTAAACAGTAATATTCAATAGAAGACCAGAGGCTCTTTTATCTTTGAAGTCACCAGAGTCAGCCGCTACCTCACTTCCCAGTTTTCTTCCACTTTGAAGTGGTTTTCGTCCCACTAATAAAAAGGAAAGGAAGGAGCTCTGTGGCTCGCAATGTACCCCTTCCAAAATGGAAAAACTTCTGGTGTAAAAATAGTTAGCAGAATGAAAGGGACACAATAAATGCCATTCTTCACTGGGCTGCAGGCAAGCAAAGACAAGGATTTAGTTCAGGGCCCTGGGAGGTATCTGTGTTCTGTGCTGGTGTAGTTGATGTATTGGAACTGGTAAACAGATGGTCCTTGGCCAATTTGCACTTTATCACTTCAATATAGCTGGAAAATCAAAACAAGATGTGCTGACACACTTGGGCTGCTTGCCTTTCGAGATGGCCATCTATTCAACAGTGTTCGCAGCTGGAGAGCTTCAGGGGTTTAGGGATGTCGAGAGATTTTTTTTCCTGTCTCCTGTTTGTGGTAATGAAACACCAGCTCTTATTTGTTCTATTGAATGTATTTCGCACAACATTGCGATCAGTGATTGAAGCAGCAAACAAAAGTAAAACATCACCTATGGCTTGGAGCGAGAGTGAGGAGACCCATCCCAAAGAATATCTTTACTTCTCCATGTTTTTTTCCAATCGTCTGTGGCCCTGTAATCAAGCCCTGTTATCGGCTGTGCAACAGAAATTAAACACTCCTGCCTTTCGAGCTTTTAATTTGCGTGACACTCCCTTCCTTTCACATGAGATTGTAGTGGGCACGACTGAACAACAACTTGCACTTATTAGGGTTAGGGTTAAATAGGATGTGTTCCATGTGTTAACAAGGTATGGTGGGGGAGGGGAGGTGGGCGCAGTGGGTTTAAAATCATTTATTAGGGTTAGGGCAGAAAGTAGGGCCACTGTGGCTGAAACAACAGACCCAAACTCCAAAGAGTTGAAATGTAACCAGTTTCCAGCCTTTCCTACACACTTCCAACCTTTCCTTCTCATATAGGATGAAAGTTTCAAAGCACTGACAACAGCGATGGGGATCACCGAGCAGAGAGAGAAGGAAGGGGAGTTTGTGGTTGTTTGACCAAAGGCCCAGTCAAAGGGAGAATGTTTTTGAAAGGGTTTTGAAAGCAGAAGGAGAATGCAAAGCGAGAGGGATTTAGGGAAAGAATTGCAGTACGTAGGACCACTGTGGCTGAAGGCTTGGCTACTGATGCTCGGACTGATAAACAACAACAAATTGCATTTATATAATGTAGCGCCTTCCACATCAGGAGGACATCAACGATAACAAAATTACATTTATATAGCACCTGTCATGTCGGAAGAACATCCCAAGGCACAGAAAGCAGTAGACCAATCAATAAAAGGCAGTATCAGTGATTTCCTTTCTCCTACAATCTGCAAGCTTTAATACCAAAGGTTCTACTTAATTTACTTCATCCTCTCACGGATCCTTTTCAACCTTGGTGGTCTCTGAAATCCTTATCCCAAATTTCCATGTTTCGCCTCTCTTCTTCCCTTGCCCCCTTCAAGGCCGGTCTCAAGACCCTTCTCTTCGACCGTGCCTTTGGTCTCCCTCCCATCTCTCTGCCTTCCCTCACCCCTACACCACCCCTCCCCCATGCTCGGGCTCAAAAACCTGACTGGTCAGCGCTTTGGGACATCTTCCCAACATGAAAGGCGCTCTATAAATGTAATTTTGTTGTTGTTGTTCCCACTGACCCCATTTATAAGTAAACCTTAACCCTGTGTTGTAATACTTAGACTGTAGCAGATATCCTGAATGTGTTCTGAGTGAGTCTGGCGATTCCTCCTACTTTCTCTTTAGGATTGGTCTCATTTGCTGTCTCCCAGCTGGGACAGGGAACAAAGGAAAGCAGAAGCACTCGTGAGATTCCTCCCATTCCCCCAATTCCTAGAGTTGCCTTGAAGCAGGCCAGAGAGCAGGTCGCTGTGGGTAGACCCAGAAGAGGAGAAGCAAAATGAGAAGAGAATAGAGAGAGTTCATATCTTAAAAGAAACTTCAACCCTGTAGATGAATAAGGTTTGTTAAAGAACTTGCATGAGGGGGAGTTTATGTTGCCTCATATTCTATTTCTTGGCCATGCTGTTGACTGTATTCAGCAGGAAGCTTGCAGAGAGCTCCTGGTGCCTGCTAACCATCCAGTGAGGGCTCAAACCCATTCTTGTCGGATGTCAGATCATCAACTCGTGCCTATCTTCCTTGGAGGGGAGGTAAGCGGGGTCTCCTGGAAGCTGAACTGATGACATGTTTGGCAGTGAACTATTGGAATCAAGTCAATTCTCTGTGGTCTCGGTAGCCAGTTCCTGAGCCAGTCGGGTCCATAGTATTCCAAGGCACTGCTGACGACAGCCCAGCCAGCCTGGCAAATGAAAGCAGGTGGAGGAGCAGACCAGTCACTGGGGGCAAGTACTCCTCCCATTCAGCTCCCATTAACCCTCCAAACGAAAGCCCTAACGGGTAAGGTGGTGCTAGCTGGACAAACAACAGGAGAGTTTACCAGAAAGTGTTTTCAATGGTAAGCTATGCAGTTTTAGCTGGTTAGTCTCCAGCAGTACCCCAACCCGCACTCTGGGGTCCCCAAGCATTGGTTCTTGCCAACCTATATCCGATACTTTCCAGGATTAGCTAAGAAGGATGGGTCCCTCCAGGGAGAGAGTGCATTCCATTCCAATGAACATCTCTGGAATGTGTAGGTGGGATGCAATGATTTCTCAGTTTGGTTTGGATACTCTTAAGCATGGTGATGGGTGTCACCCATGTTGATCAAACAAAACTCCTATTGTGTGGAGCTAAGCACTGCTTTCCCTGATCCTGACGTTCTTCATGATTTATGCAGCAGGATTATTTTATTAGCCAGCATTTGCCTGCATGTCTGTAGGTAGGTGTGCGGGTACACCTGCGTGTGTCTGTGTGCGTGTGTCTGTGTGTGTGTGTCTGTGTGTGTTTGTGTCTGTGTGTGTTTGTGTCTGTGTGTGTGTTCGTTGTTACTCAAATTTTTGCTTAATCCTTGCAAGTAATGCAAGCTTCACAAATCTTTCTCTCTCTCCAAAACTTGACAGATTTAAGAAAACTGATGCTATTTTTCTTGTCCTGACACGATAAGCTGGATTTTTTTACAAATATAGGAATCTTGCAGCAATGAGTCCTGTGTGTGAAATGGATGGACTGAGGCTGTTCCACACACACTATAAGGGTACTGCTAATACTGCTTTCCTGTGCTTGCCACATCACTGGGATCAAGCTAATTACAATCCCGAGTGAATAGGAAATGGTTTGGTGTTTCTCCAATAATCTGATTGGGACTTAAACTGCTATTAAGATGGTATGATAATAATCAGGTCTGACTGAGTCCGCCTGTAGGGCAGAGCTCCCTTCTACGTAACCCCGCTGTTTAAGCTGTTAGCTTGCCCTGATAGTACAGCCGACACAGACTGGAGTGTAGCATTCTGTGAATGGACGTTTCACGCACCCAGTTTGCCGCTAGTTTAAGACTTACGTCAGAATGTTTTAGAATATTTGCTGAAAATAATGCAAACGTTTGGACTGGCGCCAAACCATGGTGAGGTCTGTGCGATGCTACGTGGGTTTGCTTGCGGTAGACTGTATCTACACTGTTTGTGTGTGCTGTCTCTGGCCACAGAAAGGCCCATTGCCTTTAGATTTCAGAGGCCTGAAGTTCTTGGAAGAGAACTGCAGAAGAACGCCTCTCAAATTAACTCTGAACTTAAGAACTTCTGTCCAAACTTTAATATTAGTTCTTCCGGCTAAGACTAATAGGATTTGAGGCCTGTGATTGCCAAGTGGCCTGACGTTTGCCTGTTTATTTCCACTGTATTTTGCCTTGTTTAATTAAGAACATAAGAAATGCTAGATGAAAAAAGTACAAGGTCCATTAGTTCACCTTCCACCTTCCTGGCGGTCGCATGCACATATGTCCCAAACTACCTATGTACTATATCCCATAATGTTATTTCCTAAAAGAAAACTATCTAATCTGTTTGAAAGAATCAACATTCCTGTTTCAACCACCTCCCTAGGTTCACTATTCGCTCACTGAAATAGTGTTGCGTAGATTCCTTCTGAATTTACCCCCCTTCAATCGCAGGCCATGTCCTCTGGTTCTACTATTCCGGAAAACTTGAAACAACAGCTTGTCATGATCTATATTGTCTTGCCCCTTTAGAATCTTAAAGCAATCATGTCACCTTTCAATCTTCTCTTTTCCAGCGTGAACATGCCCAATTTACTTAGTCGCTCCTCGTACTCCAATTCTTCCATTCCCTCAATCACTTTGGATGCCATCCTCTGTATCTTCTCAATTTCTCCAATATCGTTTTTGTACTGTGGCGACCAGAACTGTACACAGTACTCTAAGTATGGTCTCAGCAATGATTTATACAGTGGGAGGATTACCCCACTATTTTGGCTTGCTATTGATCTTTTGATGCATCCCAACATTTGGTTTGCTTTACTCACTGATACAGAGCATTGTTGGGAGAGCTTCAATTTATTGTCAATCAGGACCCCCAGGTCCTTTTCATTTTCCATACATATTATTTTCCTTCCATTCAAATAATAGTGCCTTCCAGTATTTCTTGTCCCTATGTGAAGTACTTTACATTTCTCCACATTGAATTTCATCTGCCATCGATCTGTCCAATTACCAAGTATGTAACCTATCTTGTTCAGCTTCGCAATCTAACTTGGTGTCATCTGCAAACTTAGCCACTGTGCTTGCAACTCCTAGTTCCAGATCATTTATAAAAATATTAAACAAAAGAGGTCCAAAAACAGACCATTGTAGAACTCCACTGGTAATATCTTCCCAGTTTGATGATATTACCTGTACCACTGCCCTCTGGGTTTTTCTGGTCAACCAATTGCATATCCATTGTAATATACCTCCACTGATTCCGCTTTCTTTACTTTCAGTACCAGTCTCTCAAGAGGAACTGTATCAAAGGCCTTACTGAAATCCAGATATACAACATCCTCAGCCTTACCCTTATCAAGCTCCCTTGTCACACTGTGAAGGAAAACCAATAATGGTTAATAATAGTAATAATAGTGGAGTCCTGTAGCTCAGTGGTTAGAGCACTCGCTTTGCAAGTGAGAGACCTGAGTTCAATTCCGGGCGAAACCGTGGGCAAGTTTCCTTACTCCACACACCTAATAATAATCCCTCCAAAACCAAAAACAATAATAAATTGGTCATTTTCAATCCACAACTGTTTGTGGGACATTGCTGTGCGCAATTGGCTGCCGCGTTCGCCCACAAATATACAGCCAATTCACTTTACACTGTGTTCTGTGAAGCGCTTTGGGACGTCCTCCCGACGTGAAAAGCGCTATATCAAATGCAAGGATTATTATCATTATTATTATTAATAAATTAGATTGACAAGACCTTCCCTTGATGAACCCATATTGGCTATCATTTATGATTTTATTTCTGTACAGATATTCCATGATTTTATCCTTAATAAGAGTCTCCATAATTTTACCCACAATGGACGTCAAACTTACTAGTCTGTAGTTTCCTGGGTCACCTTTTGTTACCTTTCTGAAAAACAGGAGTAACATCAGTTCTTTCTCCAGTTCCCGGCAACTCTCCAGTATTCAGTGATTTTTGAAAGGTTTGTGCCAGCGTTTCTGCGACTTCCTCCCTTAGTTCCTAAAGGATCCTCGGATGCAATTTATCCAGCCCCTGAGATTTATTTACCTTAAGTTTAAACAGCTGTTTGACCACCATGCTGGTAGAGATATGAATAGTGTGACAACTTTTCTCTGGACATCCTTGAGTTCTCTTTCCAGATCAGATGGGTTACCCATCTCCTCTTTGGTAAAGATTGATGCAAAAAACTCATTTAGCATTATTAGTCTGTGCAGCATTATTTGTCATGTTGTCTCCTGAACCCATCTTCAGGGGCCTATTCCATTGTTTGTTTTTCTTCTACTCTTAATGTAACAAAAAAACTTTTTGTTATTATCCTTCACATCTCTTGCCATGTTCAATTCAAAGCTTTTCTTTGCCATTCTGATGCCTTTTTTTGCAGTCCAGGCATGCCTTCTGGTATTAAGTCTGACTTATTTCCTTACGATGACTTGTTTCCTCTGTCTTAAACCCACTCCCTTGAATCCACTTCAATCCATGACTGTTTGTGGGACATTGTTGTGCACAATTGGCTGCTGCATTTCACCCACAAAATACACAGTCACTTTACTTTACAATATATTCTGTGTAGCGCTTTGAGATGTCTCAAGGACGTGATAAGGTGTTATATCAAATGCAAGGATTATATTATTATTGTTCACTGACAAAGACAACTGAAAGTTAATCTGCCTCTTACTCCAACTCTGCCACTGCCATTCTCTGTGGTCAATGGCTCACCTGAGCCAACCCAACATCAGAAACCTGTTGTTGGTATATAAGGTCACCTCGTAACCCTATATGATGATGCACTTTTTAAAATTAATTCCACTTTGGCTTATAAAGAGGGAGTGTGGTTGGTGGGATCACTCCTTCACAGCACTGCCCAAAATTTTGTTTCTTCTTGTTATTGAGGTATACAATAACGTGGTTTTAGGCTTGCGTGTGCTTGTGTCAGATACCCGGCTTACTGAAAAAAAGGTATAATTGTCTGTCTTCGCCTCTCTCTGACTTGGGTTGTGTGTATGTGTGTGTTTTTCTCTCTCACACTCACACATGTGTATATTGTAGTAATATTTGCTTACAGGCCCCCCTAACAAAAATAATTAAACAGATTGACACCAGAGCCGTTATACACTAGACCCAATGAGACAAAAGGGAACAGAGTTCCTGCAGCTGTTCTCACACAGCAAGTCTTGATGTCAGACAGCCATGTTAGAGCTTGGTGCCAAAGGTGAGGGAGGGAAACTGAAGAAGACCAGTTCACTTGGCCGATCTCACAAATGATCTCTAAACGTTCCAAAGAGCTTCATTGAGAATTGTTGTGAATTGCAGTGACTTTGTATTTTGTGGGCAAATACAGCAGCCAATTTGCATACCACAATGTCCCTCAAACAGTCATGAAATGAATGACCAGGATATGTGGAGGATTGGTGTTCAGGACATCGGGAGAATATATAATAATCCTTGCATTTGATATAGCACCTTATCATGTCTTCGAGATGTTTCAAAGCTTTACAGTATATTCAAAGAATATACTGTAAAGTGAATTGACTGTATATTTTGTGGGCAAAATGCAGCAGCCAATTGGGCACAACAGTATCCCACAAACAATCTTGGATTGAGTGATCAAATTATTTTTATTTATTTTGGAAGGAATTATAATAATAATAATAATCCTTGCATTTGATATAGCGCTTTTTACGACTTCTAGATGCCTCAGAGTGCTTCACAGAATAGACTGTAAAGTGAATTGACTGTATATTTGGGGGCAAAATGCGGCAGCGAATTGCGCACAGCAGTGTCCCACAAACAGTTGTGGATTGAAATGACCAATTTATTATTGTTTTTTTTGAGGATTATTATAATAATAATAATAATAATCCTTGCATTTGATATAGCGCTTTTCACGTCGGGAGGACGTTCCAAAGCGCTTCACAGAATATACTGTAAAGTGAATTGACTGTATATTTGTGGGCGAACGCGGCAGCCAATTGCGCACAGCAATGTCCCACAAACAGTCGTAGATTGAAAATGACCAATTTATTATTGTTTTTTTTTGGAGGGATTATTATCAGGCGTGTTGAGTAAGGAAACTTGCCCAAGGTTTCACCCTGCCTGGGAATCGAACCCAGGTGTCTTGCTTGCAAAGCAAATGCTCTAACCACTGAGCTACAGGACTCCCCTGGACTCCCCCTTATTACCCCAGGAAAACTCCCTCCGGGGATAAACTCCTTTCTCGTTTCAAATAGTGCCATGAAATCTTTAAACAATTACCTGAAGGGTAGATGGGATTCGGTTTATTATCTCATCCACAAAACGGCACCTTTGACAATGGAACATTTCCTCCTCTACCCCAGCTCTTCATTGGAGTTTGAGCCTAGACTATGAGCTCCAAGTACCGACATGGGCCTTGGACCCACAATCTTCTGTGCCAAAGATGAGGGTGCCAGCAACTGAGCCAAGCTGACGCCCAAGTCAGCTAAGTTAGCACAATCCCGATCATCAGCACTGAATTTCTGATCTATACAGTTCAGTTCCACGCTGAGTGTTGCATTCATCCCCCAAACCTTCAGGGAGTTCCTGTATTACCTGGTTTGAGTGATCGGCTCCATGGTAAGAGGGTTGGTAATGTTTTCATGCACTGGGCGCGATGCTGAAAATAACCGACTGCGTTGCTTGTTTCAGGTGAGAGACCCTACAAATGCTTGACCTGCGAGAGGACCTTCACCCTGAAGCACAGCCTTGTCCGACATCAGCGCATCCACCAGAAGGGGGAGAAGGCGGCGAAACGTCACGGGAACGAGAACAACCCGGATCAGTGCAAGGGAGACAATGACAGCGAGAGCGACATCGACCAAGCAGACTCTACCCAACTCTCGGAGAATGAAAGCGAAACCCTGACCAGTGTTTGCCTCAGTAACGACTCTCCCCCGGCTCTCAGCCCAGCCGGCAGCTCCTCAGTTACCACAGGCAGCCAGTCTCCCAACCAGACGGCAGGCAAAGCGACAAATCCCGAGACCGGCTTCCACCTTACGGGAGCGGTCAACGGGGTGCGGCAAGGAACCTTCCTCATCCAGGGCGTCAGCCAGGAATCCGGGAAGAGCTCCGAAAAGATGCTGGAGGATCCCACGGGCCCCTCGGACATCATTCAGAACCTGCTGGGCATCCGCAGCGTGTCGCCAATGAACCACGTTCTCAGCTCGGTGGAATCAGCGCCCCGCTTGCTGGGAGTGGAGTAATCTCACTCACATTACATTTGCTCAAGTTGCTGACAAGTTGGGCCACAGTACTTTCAAAATCTGACGGACGTACACTCTAAATACACCAGACAGGGCACGGAGGTCACCGAGGCTAGAGTTATTATTTTTCTCCTCTTTCCACCCTCTCCTCCCAGTAAATCTTGATGCTTTTGCTCTGGTGCTATCGGGGAGCCTTAACAGACACTGGGAGCGAGAAGAACCCAGTGTAATTAAATGGACTGTCTTTTGTATCTTCCAAGTGCCTTACTACCTGACTGATCCGCACCTTGAACCGCTGATCCAAGGGGTCACAAAACTTTGTCGCGAATCAGTACATTTCAGCCCGTTGAGAACAACCTTGGGATCGGAATCCCCTCGTGTTGCGTTTTTGTTTTTGAAAGCTGGAAAATAACATGGGAAAAGGATCACGTGGCATCCTAACTCACTTGGCGGGCTGTGCTTGTACTTTTAATGAGAAGCTGAACTACTGTACTAAGTCTTCCACGAAAGCCTTATAATGATCACACTGACTGACAATCTTTTGGAGAGGGGGAGGGGGGAGATTTTACTCCATTATGAAACAAACATAGGGACAAAATAGCAATTCTATGATTTGTTTTTTATAGCTTTGCATTTGCGGTGGACGTGACAGTGCCATCTTGTATTTCTTTTGTAAATTTGGTCTTTAAAGATGGGCTTTTTTCCCAACCGAGGTGGAACTCACTGCTCGCCATCCATCTGCGAAAAGCTGGGGGTGACTTTTGAAAAATCCTTTTCGTTTTTCTTTTTCCACAATAAAAGGCGTAATGGGCTGTTTCTGCTGAAAATGAGAAAATGGGACTAAAAAGGTAAAATTAATTAGGAGAAAGCGAAGATGTGTTTTGTTATAAAGTTGTTATAAAGTTTATATCCGTATAAAATTCAGTGCAAATAAAATTTTAAAATTATTTCTGCTCTCAATGGTTTAACACCCAGCGACTCGGGACAGGAGCCATTAATCAACTATATAAGTGCAGAGCCGTGTGGCAAAAAAAGTTTAAAAAAAAGTGTTTGCAGCATTAAGCTGGACAATGTACTAGCAATAATCACTATTGATCTAAAGCTTTATTTAGTATATGTCTGTACCAGCAATATTAGTTATATGGGCCTTGCCACATTTTATTGATATTTTTATTAGAGGAGTTTTTTGCGTCTTGACTGAGGAATTTATTTTGTTTTCTTTTTCAAAACTGTGAAAAGGAGAAATTCATTTTGTGTTGAATTAAGGGTGAATCTTAGGTTAGTGTTGCATGTTGGACTAATTTGTCTATCAGTTTTTTTGTTTGTAATTCTGACACTCTTTCTCAGGGCTTTTTAAAAATGCATCTACTAAAATCCCTTTCTAGTTTCAAATTTCCTCCGTTTTAAAGGACTTGAAGCTGATATAATTCAATCACTACATGAAGCACTTGACTGTGAAAGAAAATGTCTAATTGGTTTACAACTTGTTCAAAACGAATCAAATTTAAAAAAGCAGTCAATTTTCACATGCGCCACAATTTAAAGCTTTTATCAGAGGTTTTGCGAATTTATGTCTATTTTCAAGAAGGAAAACTTTTCGGGGTGTTGGAAATGGAAGAAATATTAATAAACAAAAAAGAAATGCGAGCCAGAAAGCATTAAGAAAAATAAAAATTCAGAATCCATATTTTTTTGTAAAGGGAACCTTTACTGCTGCTACGTTTTATGTATACATTTGGTTTATGCCACATGAACAGAGAGAATCACATGGAGTTTTGGTACTTACTTCCAATGCAAAATTTTTTAAAGCTGTTCTGTATCAAACCATCTAAGCAATAAAATGTTATACTTGAGCTGCTTCATTTTTTTAAAATTCTGTTTATTAAAATCACTTTTATTCAAAGGTGATGCCTCGCTCTTACACTCTTGCTTCGCCACTGTTAAGCGCTCCGAGGCAATGCACATTAATACAAGTTTTTGTTGCTTAGAGTGGCACTCAGCTACACTGACCCAGAGTACCAGGTTTAGTCCTCAGTCTGTACTGAGTTTGCTGATCTCAGCAGGGTTAATACAAATGGTCTCAATGCCCCTGAGGTAAGGAAAATGAAAATTAGCCAGTATCCCCACTCCTGATCCCTATCCAGAGAACAGTACATGAGCATGTGTATATGTATGAGCACAATAGGTGTGTTTGGTTGGGATACCACTATGGTCCATTAATCCGCCAGAACATAGGAGTACAGAATGTCTACTTGGAGGAGTTAACAGAGGACACCCAGTGCTCGTGGTACACCACCAAGAGTCAGAATTTATTCTCTGGAGAGAAGGGGGGAAGGGAACACGAGAAAAGATACAGTCATGAAGAAATGAGAAGGACATAGCCACACTTCCTTAAAACGTTGCCGTTTCCCTGTCCCTGCACCCCCCTCCCGGAATAATGTTCTGATGGTACTGTTAACTAGATCACCGTAAATGTTAACAAGATCACAAGTAAATTTCCCCAAACTGTCAGGCCTTGACCCAATAAAATAAATATTGTATCTTGTCTGCTTGTAGACCTTTTATCAGTTCTTATTTGCCAGTGTGGCTAATGGCAAGGATCAGGAGTTGCTTGCTTCACATGAATTCCCTCTCTTCCCCCTCCCCCACTTCCCTTTTGTTTTCTCAGTTCAGAATACTGTTAGGATAACGCAGCAGAAAAAGCACGACTCTATTCATTCTGTGTGTGCAACGATCATTAACCCATCAGACCTTGGGGATTTCTCTTTGGTTTGCAATTGCGTTTTTTTTCTTGATCTGCAAAAAGAAAGCATGTCTTTTAACCTTTTTTTTGTGAAACTTCTCGCTTTCACACTCAGCAGGGTGGATATTTTTCCATCGCTATATCTGTAGGTCAACTATGAACAATAGAGCTTGAATGTGCATGGTAAGTACACATGCCAACAAACAATTTATTTTAATACAATACAGTCTACACTTACATAGCACCTTTCATGGGTCTCAAAGCATCCCAAGTATTAAAATTGCTTTCTGTTTCACATAGGTTACAGCAAGATTGAGTAATGAGAATGGTGTTGGGGGAATAAAATGAGAAAGGAAAGCTTTGCTTGTGTGGATCATGTATTCATTCTATCCTGCCACCCATGTAATGTTGATGTTGGTATGATGAGTCAGTGTGTGTACACTAGTGTACATTTTTCACCCCAGCATGTCTATGGAGTTCTTTACTGGGGATTGTCTAAACTCAATTATGTGGCAATCAGGTTATCTTTCTGGACTGTGCCTTTTTATACCAACAGTACCACATCGCCCAATGCAGGCAGATAACATCCTTTATCCTCTATTCTTTATCTTTAGCCTCATGGCATAGATGTACGCCCTTATCAATAGCACAGTTAGCATGGAATAGACCATGATTATCTGCATATGTTGAAAGGGTCATGTGGCTAACCCCCCAAACCCATGCTTCAGGACACTACGTTTATGATGCTACACAATGTATTGTGTGTATGGGTATTCTTGTGTCCTGTTATGGTCTGCCAGTTGTGCAATGGGACCACGTTATCAAACTATAGCCCTAATGCCTTCATAATCAACCTGCAGTTCATCATCTTAGTTCAGTCTCTGTGATCAAATACCGCATTAGAGGCAAGTGACTGAGGTTTCTTTCATTCATTATAAAAAGATATTGTGCATCACAAGCCATTTAAACTGATTGAATATTAAGATGAATAGGCTGTGAGGTTATAATGCGGCTGGCAGTACCTCCAGATAATTGTACTGGTGACACTCGAGACTAGGAGAAAGTGAGCAATGCCACAGGTTTGCTGTCTCTCCAATTGTGGATCTGCATCTCTGCAAATGAATCAGCCTGTGTCCCAGGAATGCAAGTGGCTAACATACACCTGAAAATGTCCATAGAATCACTCTAAAACTTAGAAATGAACTGTTAATTGTTAGTGAAAAGTCAGGGCCAATTTTTACAACCACATTTCTACTCACAGCTACAGTACATATAGCAGTAGTAATAGTAAATGGTCTCCAGACACAGCCAGAGGTAGAGTGGTTCTAGACACAATAGAGATAGAGTAGTTTTAAATACAAAAGACCCTCAAGTCCAGTATGTGTTAAAACACATTTGAAATATTGTTTTCGGAGAACAGCATGTACAAGGAAGTGAAAATAACTAGAAGGAGGAATTAACAACAACAAATTGCATTTATAAGCACCTTTCACATCGGGAGGATGTCCCAACATGCTGAATAAGAATGAAGGAAAAGAGTTTTGTGGCAATTTTTTTTACTGCATAATTAAATAATAGTAATAATAATCTTTGTATTTGATACAGCGCTTTTCACATCAAGAGGATGTCTCAAAGTGCTTCACAAGATATACTGTAAAGTGCAGTGACTGTGTATTTTGCAGGTGAACACAGCAGTCAATTTGCACACAAACAGCCATGAAGTGAATGACCAAATTCTTTTACTCTGCGTAATTGTTGGCCAGGACATCTGGAGAAACTAGTTTTTGAATAGTGCCACTGGATCTTTAACATCCAACTGAACAGAGAGAAAGGACCTCAATTTAACATCCATTTCAACAATGCAGTGCTTTTTCAGAAGTGTCAGAAAATACTAATGAGTTCAAAGTGCCAATGTGGGGCTTGAGTGCTACCGGCTGAATTAGCCAGGCTGACACTTGATGAAGATAGTTTTCTCAAGTAGAAGAAAGAAGGTAGGGGAGGAAATTCTAACCTATACTGTGTTAATAAAGCTATTTCAGATCACAAATGTTACCCCTATTTTAACACTAGAGCAGTAGTTTTAACCTAACAGCTACTGGTGCATTGAGTTTCTTCTTTCAACCAGGGTTCTGTGCAAATAATAATCTTTGCATTTGATATGGAGCCTCATCACCTCATTGAGACGTCTCAAAGCACTTCACAGCATACACTGAAAGTAGACTGTGTGTTTTGTGGGCGAAACGTGGCAGACAGTTTGCACCCAGCAATGTCCCACAAACAGCCATGGAATGAGTGACTGAGCAAGCTAAGTTATGTTTTGTGTGTGAAACTGAATCTTTCTGGCTGTGGCAATGGATGACTGTATCCTGCAATCATGTCTCTCTCGGATTTCCCTCTCCCCTTGAACACTTGACTCCACAGGAAAATTGGAAGGTCTAGATGCCAAAGCACAATTGTGCAATGCAAAATCTGGCAAAGGCTGACAGGGAAGAAAAGGCACATTTCACTTCTGGATAGACCCACAGCTCAGATCAAAAGAATTGCAGTAAGTAACCGATTTTACTTCACTCCATTTTTCTTCACTGTTATCCACTCTTTTTTATCCCTTCCTTCCATCCATTCTCTGACTGTTGAGTGTCGCAGTCTCCTGCAGCCTCAGAGAGTCTTTTTCTTTGAAACATACTCACACACGACTTCAGTGTAGTCTTTTGTTTGTCCCCTGTTTATTAACACCCCAATGTTATGTATGCGGCAGTCTGAGATTATATGAGCACTGGACTCACAGATAGAAACTTGTGAAGTGGTGCCCAGAGTTATTTGCTGCTTGAAATATTTTTTGAAAAGATGGTAAACTCCTGTCTTCCTTCATCTCCCTCGGTTGGGTCAAGTGTAAACCAGAGGCTGGGCTGAGCGGCAAGTGGGGAGGGGTTGGTGTTCCTGAGCATCCAGCGATTCTGCTGTGATGTGTCCTGCAGTAGAGCACAGAGTAGCCGGGAAAAGCTCTCCCTCAGAGGTTCACCTTCCTTCTCTTGCCCCACAGTGACCTGGCTGACATCAGGAGCCTCAGGTGGGGATGCAGTCTATGTGATAGCAGCCTGAGCCCTCAGTGCACGCTGCTGTCATTGACTTTGACTTGTGGGACTGGCAGTAACCAGTGCAAAGAGTGGCAGCAGAAATGTTAAACACTCAACTCACATTCCTTCTGTCTGCCGCACAAACAATCTGTGAAAGATCTAATTATAGTACACTGAAGGTGTAAAAAGGAAGCCAGGAACTCTTCACTCTCAGAATTTGTAGTCTAACAATTTAGTAACAGTAATTTGTAATGTGTATTGTATTGATTTTGAATTGCCCCATATATATGCAATTCAAAATCAATACTATCCCCCCTCCCCCCACACTGTTAACATGGATACAGTTCATGATGATACTGTCACTGAAGCCAGATCATGCATCTGATTAGTAGCGCACACTGTTTGACTGCTGGTTATTGTGTCACATCATTTTACTAAACAAACCATTTAGAGTTAGTTCACCGCCTGCTCACCAGCAGTCAAATTCTGCAATCTGAGAGACAAAATTTACATTGTGAACTAACTTCACAAAACGTTGGGATTGCGAATGGTGTCAGGGGTTGGGAAAATGCCTCTGGCCCGTCCAGGTACATTTGCAGTGGATCCAAGTTATTAAATGTAAACCATGTGTTTGACCCCAGTGAGTGAAAGGAACTATATAAATATTCCAGTTCCGATGGCACATTTGGCTCAGCCATTACCTGATGAACCAACACACCCGGGAAATCTTGGGCTCGGTCTCTGGTCTGTGCTGACTTCCAGCAATTGACATCAGTGTGAGATAGGATAAGAACGAGAAACCAACCAAGGGTCACCGCTGTTGATTCTTAAGCAGTGATCACCCCACACAAGCTAGAAAATGCACATTTCTGGAAAGGATTAGCTTTGATAGTGATGTCTAAGTCCTCATTGTGCTTACATGTGAAGAATGACCACTTGAACATAGGAACAGGAGTAGGCCATTCAGCTCCTCGAGCCTGTTCCAACTTTCTATTAGATCATGGCTGATCTGTTCCTCAACTCCAAACACTATCCC